AATAATCTAAAGACACCCAAGGTATATATGAAATAACGAGTAATACACATCAACACCAAAGCAAGTTTACAATATTTTATTTGGATCATGATTAAATTAGACAAAAGCAGGATAAATCAAATACATGGTTGATGTCAGGATAGAAAAAGGATCCAGTTTGCTGCGAAAGTGAATCTTGGGTCGCTAAAACTCGCAAAGATACAACACTTCCTCGCTAACCGGATAAACTTTCTTGATCCCGACATCAACCGAAGGGCGCATTATTAAAATCGCATTATCTGTCCGTCCCCACTTCATTTGTGTCCGGACTGTAATTTTGACATACATTGAGGGATTTTGAAAATAGCTTGGCACAAATGTCTACCATACAAGACGATGACTGTGTCATGTCCAAGAACCACGTCCCTTCCTCAAAGGTCAAGGTCACATTTTGAAGTTTCACATTATCACAATTAGAGTTAATAGGTACACACATTTGTGTCCGTAATATAACTTTGTCATGCAACAAGTTAGCTAATTTACATAAAACTGTAAATGCTTGAAAGGTCCAATCCAATGCTGTTCTTTAAAAGTAGAACATTTAAACATTATTTTTTAAGGCTGAGGTATTGGCAGAGTATATAGAAGAGAGGGCAGAAATACTGAAGGATAAAAGTGTGATAGAACTGGGTGCCGGGACAGGACTTGTTGGCATGGTTGCTGCTTTGCTAGGTAACAAATAAAGTAATAACTAATAAATGTTATTAAATTAAAAGATGCTACATGTATATAACTAAGAATCTACAAGCAATTTCAGAGTATTTAATTACCCAACATCATTTAAAGAAATTTAAGCTTGTTAAGTGACCACTGACTACACACTGAAAATTCCTAAGTTACCAAAATGAATATTCATTAAGTTTTTAGTTTATACAAATTTATTTAAGTTCAACTGTGTTGGAAGCTATAAGTTAAATCCTTTCCTGGAACCAACCTAAGTACCAAGCAATGAATGTAAAATTTCTTGCTCAAGGAAACAACGGCTTGCCCCTGGCAGGGTTTGAACCAACGCGGTTAGCAATTCTTAGATTACTAGTCTGATGTATGAACCACTCGGCCACGCCACCACTATTTATTAAGTTTAAAGCTATTAGGTAAGAACTATACCTTATCTTAACTCTTTTAAAAATTCACATGTATGATAATTCACATTGTAATTTCTGCTGAATTATTTGTATTGACATTGATAGAATTTTATTGAAAAGACACAGATTAAATAAGTTCAAATAATAGCAATTTTTTCAATCTAGATTATAAATGCTATTGTTTGAACGTATTTAATCTGTGTCCTTTAAATAAAATTATATCAATGTCAATACAAATAATTTAGCAGAAATTACAATGTGAATTATCATACATGTGAACCCTCCCACTTTTAGCGGGAGACTCCCACTTTCTACAACTTATGGAATAGACAAACAGCATTATTTATTGACATTTTCATACTAGGTGTCGAGTGTTATGTGAAATATGCTTGGAGAAAAGACATAAAATATCTCACTTGTAACAGTTTAGCATAAATGAAGCTTACTTTATGTGGATTTGTTAGAAAATAGTGATACATTTATTTTTATTTTAAGACTGTTGGTCATTCTCTTTCTGAATGAAAAACAGAGAACATTACAGTAACTGTTGTAGGAGCTTATAAAAAGTATTGTTTATCACATACCCATGCCGCTTTTGTGACTCCGTAAAAATGGTATTGCAACTCTATGCATATATTTTGATGTGACGTCATTTGTTTTATATAAACATACTGTTAAGATGTGCTATATGTTAGCATAACACTATAGGCACATCATTGAAAAATGATTCCTTTCAAATTTAAACACAATTTTGTATATGTGATAAATAAAATATTCAATTTGTGTAAGTTCATTACTGAATTTATTGAACTTGTTGAATAAAATAATACTATGCTCGCCAGAGGCTCGCATAATATGATTTTATTCAACTTGTTCAATAAATTCAGTCATGCAATATCCATTGTTTTTCTTACAGGAGCTAAGACAACAATTACAGACCGTATAGAGGTGTTGAAGTATTTACAGACAACAGTCGAGACTAATTTACCACCAGATGTATACCAGTCTACACAAGTTTTACCACTAGACTGGTGTAAGGATTTAGACAAGTTCCACACAACCTATGATGTGATCCTCGGTGCTGATATTGTATACATTGAGGAGGTGTTTGAAGATTTGCTCAGAACTCTGATACAGCTTAGTAATAAGGAAACCGTTATTTTCCTGTCTTGTAGAATAAGATATGACCGAGATACTAACTTTATAAAAAGACTGGAAGAACATTTTGTTGTGTTAACATTGCTCTATGATAAAGATAAAGATGTAAATTTGTATAAAGTGACTAAAAGGTAAACATAATGTGACTAGGTAAACATAATGTGACTAGGTAAACATAATGTGACTAAAAGGTAAACATAATGTGACTAAAAGGTAAACATAAAGTGACTAGGTAAACAATATGTGACTAGGTAAACATAATGTGACTAAAAGGTAAACATAATGTGACTAGGTAAACATAATGTGACTAGGTAAACATAATGTGACTAGGTAAACATATTGTGACTAAAAGGTAAACATAAAGTGACTAAAAGGTAAACATAATGTGACTAAAAGGTAAACATAATGTGACTAGGTAAACATAATGTGACTAAAAGGTAAACATAATGTGACTAGGTAAACATAATGTGACTAAAAGGTAAACATAATGTGACTAGGTAAACATAATGTGACTAAAAGGTAAACATAATGTGACTAGGTAAACATAATGTGACTAAAAGGTAAACATAATGTGACTAGGTAAACATAATGTGACTAAAAGGTAAACATAATGTGACTAAAAGGTAAACATAATGTGACTAGGAAAACTTAATGTGACGAAAAGGAAAACATAATGTGACTAGGTAAACATAAAGTGACTAAAAGGTAAACATAATGTGACTAAAAGGTAAACATAAAGTGACTAGGTAAACATAATGTGACTAAAAGGTAAACATAATGTGACTAGGTAAACATAATGTGACTAAAAGGTAAACGTAATGTGACTAAAAGGTAAACATAATGTGACTAGGTAAACATAATGTGACTAAAAGGAAAACATAATGTGACTAGGTAAACATAAAGTGACTAAAAGGTAAACATAATGTGACTAAAAGGTAAACATAAAGTGACTAAAAGGTAAACATAAAGTGACTAAAAGGTAAACATAATGTGACTAGGTAAACATAAAGTGACTAAAAGGTAAACATAATGTGACTAAAAGGAAAACATAATGTGACTAGGTAAACATAAAGTGACTAAAAGGTAAACATGTGACTTAGAAAAAAATAATATGATTAAAAGGTAAACAATATGTGACTAGGTAAACATAATGTCACTAGGTAAACATATTGTGACTAAAAATAAACAATAGGTGAAATTGGAACTTGTCTTGAGGTTAAAAACTTCTTTTTCAAGTTCTGTCTCAAGTATCTGGATTTTCATTGGTCAGTGTACATTCTGTGACAATGTCTGACCAATCAAATAACTGAGATTTTTAAAACCTCCAGTATGGACCTTGCTAGTGTTTACAGTTTTATGTCAATTGGCTAACTTGTTATCCAGTTGCTACAATGTGATACCGTATAAGTGGTTTTTTCTGCGGTGACTTTATTTCTGCGTTTTCTGCGGTCAGTTTCAGCACCGCAGAAATAAAAACCGCAGAATATTTCTCCATTTTTTTTAACGATACGTGTCCTACGTTATGACCTGTTGCCTCTAAAGTAATAACGACTAACGGATTATAACGGTTAGCGGGTCATCGAGTTATAAAAAATTGCTTTCGGCTAAGTATGTAATATGTGCTTGTAAGGATGTACCTATTGTTAATTATGCCAATTTATGAATAAAGATATTTAAACATAGTGTTTGCCTGTACGCTAAAAAGGTTTGTTTACCACTAAATCATTACAACCATTTTAACCCCTATACTGCTAAATAATCGTCGTATACATTAATTATTGTCTTATTTATGATAAACTGCTATCAATTTTATTAAATTAATGATACTACAGGGGTATATTTTTCACACGCCATTTCACGCTGATCAAAAGATGCGTGCTGTCTATTGTTGCACATTATATTTGTTTGCAAGCAAACAATATAATTGTTTGTAATTACTATATAGTTTTGCGGTGACGACAATAAACAAAATTTTAATACGAATGTGTACATGTAAATAAAATAGGTTGAGTAATGTGACTTAGACTTTGATAAGATGAGCCGCAGAATTAAAGTCACGTTTTGTCCAAAGAATGTGCCGCAGAAATAAAAACATGCCAAAATTTGAAAAAAACGTAGAATTTGGAGCCCGCAGAAAAAAACACTTATACGGTAATACATAGTCCCTGGTTTGCCCAAAAGAACACATGGTTATGTTTGTGATACTGTTTGTGAGCAGTTTTTGCCTAGCAATGAATGGAAAAGGTGTGACTAAACATTCCGCTACAAAAAACCTGGAAAGGTCCATTTAAGTTAAGGGCAAACTGAGCTCAAAGTATTTTCACTATATTTGTAACATTATATTATTTTATATATTCAATTTCAGAATCTAGAATAGTGTTTATACAATCATGTGTATAATTTTGATCTTATTAGTTGGATTTTAAGTCACAGCTGAATCATCCATGGTTGCCACTTGCCTCTCACTGCTGTAGGTTCGAGCAGCGCCAGTGTCTTAGGATTCTTCATGATAGAGAGCTATCCAGGTAGCTTATGGAACGTCAGTGGTTCTACTCAGGTGCCTATTTATGTCTGAAATAACGCACAGAGGGGCACCTGATTAGGTCTTCGTTCACCAGTAAAGCTGCAAAGTTGCTATATGACATGAAAAAAAAAAGCCCTAAAAACAGATCATTAAAGTCGTCGGGGATGATTTATAATTATCTCCCCCTGAGATCATACAGCAATGTTACAGGCTTTCATCAGTGGATGACGACGATGACATCAGATATTTCTTTAAGCATACTTCCAAAGGAGAAGTCACCCTGGTACCATAGCGAAGGACTAAAGTTTTTTATGAAGCCAGCTGGGCAGCCTTTATGTTAATATATCATTGTATCTTAATTCTTTACCATACTTAGTGCCTTAAGTTTGATTTATATAGAATTTAATTGTGTTTGTAATTAAGTGAATACAGTCATATTGGCTATGTTACTTGGTCAAGATGAGTGATATTGTACCAAAAGCTGGCTTATTTTACTTTATATTAAAAAGTAGTTGTTAAATACTACATACCAATATATTTTGTTAAATTACTTTTAACTTCGAGTTAAGACAGGTTACAAAGTGTCAACACATTAGTTATTGTAAATCGTGGGTCAGTTTAAGATGCAACATGAACATTTATAGTACCGGGTACTGTGTTTTCTTGTATTGAAATGTGTTGTATTGTATTGGAATGTGTTGTTTTGTATTGAAATGTGTTGTTTTGTATTGAAATTTAATTTTTATTATTCTACATGGAAGTTGGTTGTTTGCTACATACATACTGCATAGTATATTTTATATCAAACATAATTTTTACATATATAATGAAGAATAAAAATGTTTAAAAAAAACAACAAACAGCGTTGTGATTAGTCAGAGTCAAATCATCACCTTAGTGGCTAAGTGCAGTAACAGGTTAATTCCTATTAAATTATATAAGGAGTTAATCCGTTTCTGCACTAAGATGAAGAAATATACATTCAATACTAACTCCTAAGTAAAAAGCATAGAAGCATTCAAACTTGTTTCCAGTGTAAAGTTAACCTTTGAACTTTAGAAATTTGACCTTAAATTATACTCTACAGTTGTAATTAAAATGTCTTGAGATGGTCCCTTTTGAATTTGAGTTTTATCAAATAAAAGAAAGAGTGTTTGAGATTACCCAAATTGTATTTGAGATAGTTATAATAAATTTGTGAAATAATCATTTTTGTCAGCAGTTGCCTCCTAATAACAACCTTGGACCTGAGGTCATATGACAGTTTATAAGGCACAAAACTAATACAGGGCCCTCATTCAGGTGTATGTTGTGACAAAGCATTTAGAGCTTATAAAATGAAGATATAATGTTCAATGTTGATGACATCTTAACTTCAGACTGAAAGGTTCTGAAGTAAAAAGATCTGAATAATTGAAAATTTGAGATGAAAAAGAGAAGCCACTTGATTTATGAAATGTTGCATTGTTCTAGGTCATTCAAAAAAATTTGTAACACCACTTGAAAAAAAATTGTTTTAACAGATTTTTCATTCGACCAATCTCCAAATGTTTTTCGACAAATTGTTGTGTACCGTTCATTTCACTATTATTTGGAAGCAAACACAGATAACATCTCTGATATAAGTGTAATGTAAGTGGAAAACAGTGTTATCTATTTAAATAAAAACAACATGGCTTGGACATTACAATATAATTTCAAGACTATCTAGAAAACTATGGATTGGATATACTGGTAACTAATTATAAAAAAAATAGGTAGCGAGGAAATCATGGAAATTTTCATTTAGACATAAATTTGTAGACATTTCGAAACAATTTAAACAAGAGAACAAGATTTGGACATTATCATGTTTGTATTGGTTACACAGCAATCTGAAAAACCTCAGCTTAGATATACATAGTACCTTTTTTTTTTCTTTTTAAAGCTAAATGCCTCCAGATGATTCAAAATATTTGAATAAAATCAAACTTGAGAAAAATGTACTTTTGACCAGTAAATGGTAATTTACATGGTATGTAAGTGCCATTGATAATGTGTATATTGCTTCCTATTTGGTTACTTCACAATATTACACATTCAAATACATTTTCAAAATTTTCATGAAAATTAGCATGAATCTGGAGGCGTGCTGCTTTAAAGGTCAAGTTAGACATCTTTTGCATGCATATAAAAACAATGAACAAGTGTTTGTATTAAAATTTTAATCAAATTTAATAAACATTTTTTCTTACAACAGATTGTAAGTTATACCAAAATACAGTATCAATAAAATAGAAATAAAATGCCTACTTATTTAAATCATAATGTATTATTAATATATGTCATAATTTGTGCAGGTATTAAATTTTTGATGCTTTCATTTCATAAAAAACATTCAATCTCCCTTGATTTACTCTTTATTATAAAATTATGAGTACAATTTGTTAATTTTATGATGCATTGCAAACATGAAGTACTATTTACATTCTTATTGTCATATAAGGTACATAGATATCTTAGAAGCATACAAAATGTGTATGTTGAGTGGTCCTTAACTTAGAAAATGACACCAAATATAGTATGTCAAATTTCTTTTGTCAAAAAATGGACAAAATACAAGAGGGCGATCATGGCCCTTATATCACTCACCTGATTACCAAGGCTGTGAATTAACTGTTAGCAATGAATGGAAAGCAGAAAAGATGTCATAAACTTAAAACGATATCATAACATTCATTAGGTGCCAGCTAACAAGAATATAACATATGTCTTTTTTTTCTTTGAAAAACAATAAAAACAAAACAAAAACGAGCTAAAAAGGACAGTTTTTGTGACATAATAACATAGTAATAAAATGATGACATTGTGGTTTTTACTAATGGTCATTCATTTAAACTGCATAACTAAGAATTAACAATTATAGGATTAAAGCAGCATGCCTCCAGATGAACCAAAGTATAACAATAAATCAAACTTGTGAAAAATGTTCTTAAATTTTAAGAAAGGTAAAAACATTCAAGATCCAAGTTATATTCTACATGTTATGTGCTGTTTAAGACTGAGTTTTGCAGTATTTTATCACCATATTTCTACTGCAGTAATGACTGTTTTTGCTTATGTTGGCCACTTTTTGTTGTTTTTTCTTGGATTGCAAGTGCCGATTGCAATTTGTAAATTACTTAATTTGTTCACCTAACAATATTTTATTTTTAAATACATTTCTAAAATTTCATGAAAATTAACATGAATCTGGAGGCCTGCTGCTTTAAAGATTATAGACACGCACGAGCGAGCGCACAAGTAGAACCACTAACCTTTAATTGTAATCTGGATAGCTTCCTCACAAAAAAATATGTAGATTAAATAGAAATATGATTATATAAATAAAATTAATATATCAATGCATATTATAACAATTAAAGGGAATGACACAAAAATCGGATTTAATTAAACTAGTGACAAAAAAGATTATTTACAAAAACTAAGAAGTTTCCTTGAACTCTGAACCAGTACTCATTGGATTTCCTACAAAAATTTATGTAGGTTATTAAATGTTTATTTTTTAGTCATTAAAACATACTGATATTGCAGCAGGTTCCTTTAAAAAATAAAAAAAAAGATATTTCATAAATTTCTCGTACAGATCGTTTCTGACTAAACAACAAAAACTGACAATGAGACATTGTAAATCATGAACAAATTTTATGAAAAGATATTTATCAAAAACTGTTTATTTTTGGTATTTTGTTATGGTGTCCAAAAACATACTAATTTGTTAAATACATGATTTATCTTTTGCAGCTTTAGTTCTGTTGGCAATTGATATAATTACAGTGAATAAGTATTTTGTATGGAAGTCAAAATACTACTTTGTTTGATACCTTCATGACACGTACATGTAACTATAATGTTCAGTACTTCATTCCTCAGTTATAAAACATCTAACATGAACTTAATCAACTATTTAAACATATGTTTGATATTTCTAAAGAATAAAAAAATAAATGAATTTCTGAGGCATAATGTGCCTTTAAAAAAATGAAGAAAGTAGCCCTTGAACATAAAGGTAGCAAAATGTAAACAAAGCAGTATTTTAACTTATACGCAAAGTACCATATCACTATAATTATACTAATTGCTAAAGAACAAAAGAAGCAAAAGATATTTCATCTTCATGGCCAATGAGTAACTTTTAAGAAACTGGAAAAAGATACCAAAAATAAAAAAACTTTAGAAATTAAAATAACAGCATTTCCAGGGCTTAATGGTCCTTTAAACATTTGTCAATAAATGTTTCATATTTTACAAATACCTAGTGTTTCTAGTCATATAGATAAACAATAGTAACCTCCCCTTGAAAGAGAGGCAGTTTTGTAATTTTAAATATAACACAAAATAACAACAAAAACAACAAATAATTGGAAATTGATATTATCAACTTTTTGATACATCTAAATGAAATAGTTAAAAAAGACTGGTTTTTTTCACAGCATTTAAATTTTATGAACATGATTTGATTAACTTCAAATGATAAGCTTATGATAAAACAATATAACAGTAAGTGTTAATGCTTGATGTTTGTATCCTGATTTGGATCCTATGTGAAGAGAGGACCCAGTTTTATCAGATAAATGTTTGATTTTGGATTTCATCAGGTCTCTTCTCTATCATGTCTATATCAATTATTCTGCAGTTAAGGCTAGATTAAACCAAATTAAGTCTTGAATATTTGTCTTATTATTTGAGCCACAATTTAACCAAACAAAAACTAGCTGTTATCTGGAACTTAACAAATGTAGGTTTTCCCAGGTAGGTACAATGCACAACCCATCACAATAGATTAGTCAACCTGTTGCACTTATTTTCGAAGCTGTAACTGTAAAAGTTTGTTTGTACCTACGGATTAGCTTGGGGAAAGAAACCCAAATAAATGTACATGTATTCTTAATTTCAGAGTATGTCTAGTGATTACAGGTAGTCAACAGGTTAAAACAACACTCATTGTCTATATACTTTTCTAAGAGCAAAATATCCTCTATAAATCCTCCATATTAATGGCCTCTGGTTGACTGTCTGGTAACATGTTGTAACAGTGATCGAATATTTATGGAGATCAACTTTGACCTACATGTTTTTAACAAGGAACTTTTTTGTGTCCTTTAATAAAATGAGCCGCATCACGACAAAAAACATTATACGTTTGCGACCAGCTTGGATCCAGACCAGCCTGATCAGGATACATGCTGTTTGCTTACATACTCTATAACAAGTAGAGAAACTGATAGCGAACAGCATGGCTCCTGATCAGACTGCGCGGATGCATGCTGGTAGCAAACCCACTATGTTGGTTTTGTCATGGCGCGGCTCAAATGATGATTCAGGAATCAGTCACTGCATATCCACATCTTATCATCTCATCATTTATATTGATATCCTGGAAAGAAAGAAAAAAACACATCAAAACTTGAAATTACAGTCAAACCAAGAGTTACATGTCAATCTAAAAAATCTCAGTAAAGATTGCATAGATAAATTGCAAAATATTACAAATACCAACTTGAGTGATAAATAATTTTCAAAATTTAAAAGCGCTGTAAATTATTGATCCCAAAAGACCAGAAAAATATAACAACAATGAAGTGAAGCATGGGTCAACTGTTTACAACTGCCACACAGCACTTGACGTATAAAGATCTGGAGAAAGGGTGAAGCCATTCTTAAATATTCATAAAAATTAGCTTCAAATACGGAGCTAAGCCACTTAACAGACATTAAAGGAACTCCACTGAGGTTTATAAGATTTTATTTTTTCACATAGAGAAACATGAGCACTTTAAACAGAAATATAAAGAAAGTATAACTAAGAAATACACAAGAAATACATTGAAAATCATATGTTTGTGCTATTCTCAGTCCGATTTGAGTGAAAAGCATTTAAACGCTTTTCAATTTTAAGTCATTTTTCACTATTATAATAATTATTCTGGAAAAACAGAGCGAGCTAATGATCTAAAATTTTGCAAGTAAGTTATTAGTATAAATCTACATCAAATGGAGTAATAATCTCAAAAAATTATTTCCAGTCCCGTCATGTCAAAAAATCTCAGTGGAGTCCCTTTAAGAGCAAAACAAAATATATACCGTATTTCCATTGGTATCAATCAGTGTTAAATGAGGAATGGAGCCTGTATAACACTCAGCTTTGGCAATCAATCTCTTCCATTTAGCACAATATGTTAATTCCTCAAACTTGTTAAAAGCCTCTTCTGTCCATTCTCCTATATAAAACACTAATAATTTTACAAAACTATATACCATATACTAAAATAATGCTTTATAAATATGCATGTACAAATAAACAAACTATGGACAACTAAATCTATGTTTTATTTTTAGTAAGCCTGTTGTGACAGCAGTTTATAGCAAATATCTTAACAAAAATGTTTACGCTTAATCCCACAAGACATTTTCCTCAAGGCTACTAATTGTATCTTTGCCACTTAGCCCCTCTCAATAAGGTGATGCTACATGCCAAATATATTGGCTGTAGGCATTGTAGTTTCTAAAAGTCTTTAAATATATTTTTAATACATGTAATATACAAGTGTAAATAAATTAAGTCATCCCCAATTTGCAGCCAATTTTGACACAAGGAACAATGGTATGTAACATATGTAAACAGCCACTTGACAATTCTACAAGCCAAATATCTAAGCTCTAGGCATTGCATTTTCATTAAAGAAAGTTAAATGTATTTTCTTATATAAAGTTGTGTTAGCTAAGTGACCCTAGGGTGGGGTCATTTATGACCCTAGGGATATGATTTATGTTTCTTTTATAGAGGACCACATGGTGATGCTACATGCAAAATATCTAAGCTCTGGGCATTGTAGTTTATGAGAAGAAGAGTTTTTTTAGATATCATTCTAATAAGTCTATTTTTAGCCCAATTGACCTACTTATGATTCAGATTGGAAACATTTATATAACTATAAAGAGGACCACCTCAGGAGCACTCCTGCAAAGTTTGTTCAAAATGCATCTAGTGGTTTAGGAGAAGATATACTTTAAAGAAATTGTGGACAACAAACGGAGGACCACAAATGACGGACACACAGCCACCACCAAAGCTTTTTGTTTTCAGATGAACCACACACATTCATTACATTTTAAAATGAATTCCTGTTATTCTTACAAAAAAAAACTCTCAGGCAAATACACTATAATTATACATTTCAAAAAAAAATATATCCAGTATACAATAGTCAAAATATCAAAAATTATACATAGATTATTGAGTTTTAAATAAAATAAAATTTGATGTAATCAACCACTTCACATCACGAGTCTGGCTGTAACAACCAAATTGAGACCTACCATTAGGTTTGACACCTGCTAACCTGCATTCAATGGCCTGGAATGGTAAGGTCAAATACTCTGGACTGAAAAACCAAAGGTAAAAATAATTAAATTATTTCTCAGCTTTATTGATGGGGAAACTAAGATTTAAAACTAAAAACTTAATGCATACAGTGTGGCCGTATATAGCAAATGACTATATTTAAACAGCATTTTGGTTGAGACAAACTTTAAATATATTTGTTTCTTTAAATTAGGTTAGAAATCATTGAGATCTTTTTACCCATAACTTTATGAATTTGCCCTGCTTTAAAAGTGACTTTATGGTCATTTTTTCATTGTCAAATTGAGCTAAATTGACTATATACTGTTATAATGGTGATTGACCAACAGTTGATATTGCATAAATGTTATGGATAAAGTATAAATCTGCTTAAAATATATAAAAAGACTGCCCCACTCTTTTTATAAATTGAATGTCGCAAGTAACTTCTGATGGATATTTATAGAAATTTCCTTATGATGGATATTTATAGTTTGTTTTGTTTGTTTGTTTCATTTTACGCCTTTTCCCAACAGTATTTCAGTCATATAGGCAGGTAGTTTCCTAACCATCGTTTCTGGAGAGTTACACCAGAAATAGACTAACTTCCTCCGCTCTAAACTACCAAAACATCTCCCCATGTTCGAACCCACGCCAGAGAGGTAACTGGATTAAGAGTCATCGACTCTAACCCCTCGACCACAGAGGCGGTAGTATATTAATAGAAATTTCCTTAGGCCACATGAGTTTTTTTATATCATTCATGCCAATTAAATCATAAAATAAAAAGGAATCAATACAAAATGTAAACATATTTTGACAATCACCAGTTCACTAAGTACATAACTTTTGGATATGGGCATAATGTCACTTTAAATTTGGGAACATTTTAACGTTACCAAAATACACAACATCAGCTTCCAACAGTAACAGAGCCTGGAAAGTCTTCATGAAATTTCATAGCCTGGTCTGGTTAAATTATACTGGTGACAAAGACTTATCACTTTTTGTGGGGGTTTCCAGCACATTTTAAAGGAACTCCACTGAGGTCTAATAATCTAAAATTGCAATATTTGAAATTCTTTCACTATTTAAACAATACACTTTAAATGAAAAACTATGCAATAGATAATATGTATATGTACTCGGTACTAAATTGATAATCAATTTTTTATGCAGGTTTTGGGCCGATCTGTGTGACACGCGTTGTAACACTTTTCATTTTGGGGTCAAGTAGCACAATAAAATTGATTATCCCTGGGAAGCAAAGTGAGAAAATGATCTGAAATTTTGCACACAAGAGTTATTAGTCCAGACATACATAGAGCTATACAAAAAACCTTGAAAAAATATTTTTGGTCCCTTCATGTCAAAAAAAAAACCCTCCGTGGAGTCCCTTTAAGAGTTAAAAAAAAAAATACATAAAATCACCATAACGACTTCACTAGGGAGGAATCCATATAGGCACTGTCTCCATAATCTACGTAGAATAAATCCAGCTCATATTCTTTTATGTCCATCACTTTAGCTCTGTACCAGGTCCGGTCATTTTCAAACGGCGCTGCAACAATATCTCCCTTCACAATTGATGGCAACAGTTGTTTCTGAAAGAATTATATTAAGTCATTTTCTTCTTTAAAGCAGCATATCTCCAGACTCATGCTAATTTTCATGAAAATTTTGAAAACGTATTAAAAAGTAAAATATTTTCAAGTGAACAAAGAAAGTAATTAATTTTAGAAATTGCATCCAGATAAATTACCAAAAAAAAAAGTAATAAACAGATAAAAAATATGCAAAAAAAAGCCCTTAATGTGTTATTCATACAGTAGAAATATGGTGATGAATACCAGAACTGCAGACTCAGACATAAATCGCTTATAATATTGATATAAATTATTACTTTTAATAAATATTTTTACATGTAAATTATTACTTTAATAATATTTGAACTTGTGGTCCAACCCTTTTTCTTTCAAAATGTATTTATATATTTTTCTTTCTATATATTTGCATTGTACATGTTGTAAAAAATTGAAAGGAATAAAATATGTTTAAACTAAATTACTTTAATATTTTCACTTTTCTTAAAATCTTGATCATTTTTCTCAAGTTTGATTTTCTTGAAATATTTTGACTCTTCTGGAGGCGTGCAGCTTTAAACAAATCAGGCCTGGAAGTTATGAAACTTTTTTTCCGAGTTCTGTCTCAAATCTCAGGATTTTCATTGGTCAGTGTACATTTTGTGGCAGTTTCTGACCAATCAAAATACTTGAAGTCTGAGTTAGAGGTTAGAGAATTACTTTATAACCTTGGGACCTAGTCGCCCGGCAGTTTTCCAGAGAAAATTCTTACGTTAGATGAGCAAGACAATCTGTTTATTTGTAAGTTTAAACAACGTGTTATTCTTGTAACTGTAATAACTGTAACAGCATTGGACACACTGCAGAATTTAAGTTATAGATAAAATACATTCTTGTATATCAGACAGGATTATCTACCGTTTACACCGGTCCTAGAAAACTCTATCGTACACCTCACATGTAAGACAAGTTGCATGCTTTAAATGACGTCATTGTCTTTTTATAAATTAATTGCATTCTTAGGAAGACTTCATTTTAACCGATATGAATGAAGTTGTAAGTTCATACGCTACTAAAAGAAAAATGTGTGTAATGAGAATATCAGTTTTCATAATTTCTGTTCCGAAAATAATTGACATGTAATATGAAAAAGAACCAAACACCGACTGTCAGTGCAGACAGGAACATCTAGCTCTTGGGTAGATCCCCATTACCGCTGTAAACTGTTACCCTCGAGCTAGATACCGGTAATCCAGTCTGTACTGGCAGTTGGTGTAAGATTCTTATATAATTACATTTATATATTAATTAGGATATCTTGTTCTAGGTAGACATTATCATAATACATTGATTTGAAATAGTAAAAAAAAATTTCCCGTTCTTTTGTATGTTTGTTTATTTTCATTCTTTAACTAAAATCATTTAAACACTCGAATTATTTATACAGAAATCACTTGCATTCAGTAATAAAAGTCAATCAAAGAACACACTTTCAGTCATAAATTCACAACATAAAAAAAAATGATCGAACCTGTCCTTCACTATTGTAGAATCGAGTCATGGTATCTGACAGCTTATCTAACTCTAAAGCCATCGCACCTATAACCTGTACCCAGAAATGACCAGGTGTTGCTATGGCAGATACATACACCTCCACAAAATCTCTCCCCTTTGGAAACCCTGTGTATGTGTACACGTCTTTACACTCAATAGTCTCAGTATTGTAACTTTCACAATTATCAGTGTGTACTGGGTCTGAAAAATATAATATGAACTGTGTGTACTGGGTCTGAAAAATATAATATGAACTGGATCATTAAAGCTGCACGCCTCCAGATGAGCCAAAATATTTCAAGAAATTCAATCTTGAGGAAAATGTATTAAGATCTTAATAAAAGTAAAAGGATTCAATATTTAATTACATCTTACATGTTATATGCGATTAATGGCTGATATTGCAGTATCAATCACTATAATTCTACTGCGAATAAATAACGCAGTAAGAGGTATTTATGTATATATTGACCTCTTTTTGGTAATTTACGTGGATTGTAAGTGCCATTTGCAATGTTTAAATTACTTTCTTTGTTCACTTAACAATATTTTACTTTTAAATACATTTTCAAAATTTTCAGGAAAATAAGCATGAATCTGGAGGCATGCTGCTTTAATACTAATTTAACAATAAACTATGTACATCTTTAGGGGAGATATTTTTATTGCAGAAATTTATTGAAATCAAGTAAATTCTTACTGAATATATCTTATTTGAATACAAGAATGCACAAACTATGTTTGACAAGCTGCATTCCCTATTAATGGCCGAGTTGATCCGGTGGAACACAAATATTATTAACAGGCCAAAATGCATTTTTTATTCAAGGGCCATTTCTCAGCCAAAATTTTTTCAACCGGAAAACCCATTAAAAATACTCTGTAGCAGGCTTCATAAAAAACTGTCTGTCTAGTCAAAGTGCACAAATGTGCAGAATGGTTATTCTCCATACAAGTATAATGGCAACTACATTGAATTAGACGAGTACATGTGTTATAAACTGACCTGGCTCTAAAGTGTGGCAAAAATCTGTCATTATCTACATAGCTGGTTAAAAAGTTAAAAACAATTACACAAAATTTATTGCAGAAAAAGCCTCCATAGTCCTGCAGCTTGCAACATACTTTATACATTGCCATCATTGCCTCATTTTCATTTTTTCCAATTAAAATACTTCATACATTGCCTTCATTGCCTTGTTTTCATTATTTCCTATGAATATTAGAGGAACAAAGTTTATTTACCTTTACTGTTTGCAGAATGTGTCATTCTGTCATTTGATTGGTTGTTTTTAAAATCTTTCTGTCTAGTTTCTCTGTTGGCAGCAGACACAGCTGATCTTGCTCTAAACTCTTCTTCCTCATCAAGCTTCTCTTGAATCAGACTCTGAGAGCAAAAAGTAACAAGAGCTGTCGGTAGGACAGCAACGCTCGACTATTCTTAGTGCTTGATAGTAAAAAAATTGCTTGATACAGTTACCTCCTCCTGTTTACAGGTTGGGGTCATGATGGTGAACAAGTGTGCAAAGTTTCAAAGCCATATGTCAATGGACTTTGAAAATATTTGAACTATTACAAAAAAATTAACGTAAATTCTAAGTCGAAAAAGGGGCATAATTCTGTCAAAATGCTTGATAGAGTTACCTCCTCCTGTCTACAGGTTGGGGTCATGATGGTGAACAAGTGTGCAAAGTTTCAAAGCCATATGTCAATGGACTTTGAAAATATTTGAACTATTACAAAAACTTTAACGTAAATTCTAAGTCGAAAAAGGGGCATAATTCTGTCAAAATGCTTGATAGAGTTACCTCCTCCTGTCTACAGGTTGGGTTCATGATGGTGAACAAGTGTGCAAAGTTTCAAAGCCATATGTCAATGGACTTTGAAAATATTTGAACTATTACAAAAACTTTAACGTAAATTCTAAGTCGAAAAAGGGGCATAATTCTGTCAAAATGCTTGATAGAGTTACCTCCTCCTGTCTACAGGTTGGGGTCATGATGGTGAACAAGTGTGCAAAGTTTCAAAGCCATATGTCAATGGACTTTGAAAATATTTGAACTATTACAAAAACTTTAACATAAGTGGTTACGCCAACGCCGACGCTCGGGTGACTGCAATAGCTCTACTTATTCTTATCGAATAGTCGAGCTAAAAATGAGCTGTGTCACGACAAAACCAACATAATGGCTTTGCGACCAGCATGGATCCAGACCAGCCTGCGCATCCCTGCAGTCTGATCAGGATCCATGCTGTTCGCTTACCAACCCTTTTACAAGTTGAGAAACTGATAGCGAACAGCATGGATCCTGATCAGACTGTGCGGACGCGCAGGCTGGTCTGGATCCATGCTGGTCGCAAACCCATTATGTTGGTTTTGTCATGACACGGCTCAAATTATGTTGACTTAAAAGATATTCGTATTTCATTTTTATAGCTAAAGATGAAGATTGCATGTATGTATTCTAGGCTTAATGAGGGCTTTCCACCCTTTCAGGCACTGACAGTACAGACCCCGGACATGTCACCATTCATGTCCTTAAATGTTTTTATCAACCAAAAGGTGGCCTATAAATTTTGAATTCAGTAATTCACTAAATGACACTCAATATGTTACTATATGCAAGCCGATTTTTGTGATGATACTATTTTAATGCACAGGAGGCTAATGAGATCACTATATGCATCATGAAGAAAAATATATGGCCATATCTTTCGGATGAGGATGACTGACTGATAAGATTATGCAACTCGGACTGATACCTGACATGTTTCCTCATGCACGACCGACATGCACAAGCATTCTTTCCGGTTTTTACAGGTGCATTTGGAATGAAATTATAGCCAAATATTGGTTTCTTTTTCAACTTTTGTATAATACTAACAATGAGTATATCCCAAACTGGTGAAATATAAAATACAATATAGCACGTAGTAAGATTCTGCAAATGATATAGATATCTGCGCAGTCTGATCGGGATCCATGCTGTTCGCTATCAGTTTCTCTACTTGCTATAGGGTTTGTAAGCGAACAGCATGGATCCTGATCAGACTGCGCAGATGTGCAGGCTGGTCTGGATCCATGCTGGCCGCAAACGCACTATGTTGGTTTTGTCATGACGCGGCTCATATTATATGAAAACATATATTTTGACATGATGTATCTTGCATTAAACAAACATAGTAAACACAGGGTGGTATTAACTGAAAAATGATTTTTCTTTAGGTTTTTGATAAATAGAATATTATATTTGAGTAGGTTATTTAATAAATTTATTGAAATTGTTGAATAAATCAATATTGTGCTTGCTAGAGGCTCCCATAACATAATTTTATTCAACTTGTTCAATAAATTCAGTATTGAATCCGCACTCATTCAATAAAGAATCAACATCCTTTATATAATACTCATCAGCTATATTTAGTGCATTTTCTAGGTTTGATTGTGATTTTGCGTGTATGTGTCCCACACTTTGTGAAAAGTTACAAACATTTTTCTATCAATATGTCCCCATTATAGACCAATCCACTTTAAATGCAATTTCAAATGATTATATACAGAGCTTAACATAAAACCTTAAAGCAGCATGCCTCAAAATTTTTATGCTTTTTTTCATGAAAATTTTGAAAATGTATTTGGGTGTGTTATATTGTGAAGTAACCAGTAGAAATACGATACTTATAGTTGTAAATACTGAAAAATCAGTCATTAATCGCACATAATATGCAACATATTCCTTGAATCTTGAAACTTTTTATTTTTCCTTACATCTTAATATATTTTTCTCAAGTTTGATTTTATTGAAATATTTTTACTCATATGGAAGCATGTAGCTTAAAAACAAAATCTAAATTACCTTTCCAACCTTGACAACAACAACAACAACAACAACAATAAAATCCTAATAAAGTATTTTACCTTAGCAACAATGATCTGGTCTTGTGAGCCAACGATGGTGATAATTTGAGGTTTGTCATGAGAACCACTCCTTGTTTTATCTATAAGAATTTTGGTCTGTGATGCTCGTGACATGTGGCGAATGCTTTCACCTCCTCTACCTAAAAACGCATGATTTTTTTTTTTTAAATAATATTAAATATAAAGATGTCTGACATATTATATGGCTCAGTACAAATAGCTGTCAGCTTATATAACCAGAGTCGCTAGGTATGGGTTATATTGTAAACAATCATTTACACATGGTTATATAACATGGCAGCATAGTCCAAGCAATGTACAATTTCATACTTTTAAATGATTATATTCATTTTCTTATTGCATTTTTCAATTACTCTACTTTTCTATGTTGTATAACTTGTATACATTAAGTTTTCTTTCTTTGTTTATATAAATCTTCTGTTTGTAACTGTATATATGTACATTTTGATAGAGGCTCATAGGGAAGACTTGGCTTGCCTACCTATGTTGCCTCTTTAAATAAAGTCTTTATTATTATCATTATTATCATTATTAATACAGGAACCTTTGTCTGGTTTTCAGGCTGATTTAAACATACTTTATGTCATATCTCAGCAATCACTCCATCAACCTGGCTTTCCTGGGTAAATTACACTCCACCAACCTGGCTATCCTAGGTAAATTACACTCCACCAACCTGGCTATCCTAAGTAACTAACCACTTAAACCAATTCCTCTGTAAGTTAGCGACTACTTCACCTACATTATTTCTGTAGAGAGTTTGTTTGTTTGTCTGCTTCATTTTACGCCTAATCTCAACAGTATTTCAGTCATATGAGCGGGTAGTTTCCTAACCATCGTTCCTGGAGAGTTACACCAGTACTAGACTACCCTCCTCCGTGCTAAACTACCAAAGCATCTCCCGGGGATCAAACCCAAGCCAGAGAGGTAACTGGATTAGAAGTCATCAACTCTAACCCCTCGACTAGAGTCAGATAGTGAAGTTCCCACTAAATACCCTCACTCAAGATGGACACATTCCCCATATTTGCCACCAAAACAAAACCCATTACCAAGCTTATCAGAAAATAGTTACCAATAATTCTTCCAAGAGCGTATTTGTGCACTTCCATTCGAACTGTACTTTTCCAAGCTTATCAGAAAATACTTACCAATAATTCTTCCGAGAGCATATTTGGGCACTTCCATTTCTGACTGTACTTTTCCAAGCTTATCAGAAAATACTTACCAATAATTCTTCCGAGAGCATATTTGGGCACTTCCATTTCGGACTGTACCATTACAGGCATATTGGCCAGGATGTGACGTATTCGGCACTCGGCAGATTGAGCCGATTCTGGTGTGCCCCGGATGATGACAGTTCTGTCTCCATCTTCAAACTTTGAATCTTCTTTGAAATTCACTCTAGCCCCTGTTTGCTCTTGAATCTTTGTTAAAATATATATATATATATACATGTATACTGTAAAATTCCTATTAAACGCCCCCCGGGTGCTGACCATTTTCCAAAAGAGGGGCTATTATTACAACACATTTTTTCCTTAAATATATTTAGCATTAGCAAGTGTTGGTAATAACATTAAAAAGTGTTAAGGTTTTAAAGTTTACTATGATTTTTGTGTCTACTGTAAAATTAAAATGGATTCTGAAGGATTTGAATAAAATTATCAATTTACAGTCATGAGTTCAGCACTGGTGAGTAGATTTTTTCCATATCAAAAAGCCTGGGGGGCCTAATTAGAGAAGGGGCATTTATTAGAAATTTTACGGTATTAACAAATTAAATATCTATACAGTGAATTCACTACATTTTGTGGGCATGAAATTTTGTGGATTGTGACAAAGAACATGATTGTGGGGGGTATTTTTAAATTCATGGACTGTCTATTTTTCCAAGAGGCAAAATGTAAAAAATGTGATGCGAAATAATCTTACAGCAGACGAAATGAAATTTCGTTAGATTCTAAATTTGTGGACTGACTTAAATTTGTGGACTGACTGACTAACAATTCCACAAACAAGAGGGCCATAATGGCCCTTATATCACTCACTAAGGCACTCAGTAATGGAACATATTGCTAACTATGAGTGTAAAGCAGATAAAACTGACATCATACTGATCATATCAGCATCTGAAGTCATGCAAATGTAAAGACAGTTGTTTTTTTCCCATATTCAGGCTGTGTCACCAAGATGAACCATATTCAAAGCTGAACTAGAAATCAATATAACGATTACCAGGATATTACGGTTGGAAATGTTGCCTCGGAAGGTCCATAATTTTTGCTGTGTGACCTAGTTTTTGACAATGAAAAAAAACAACTTTTATTCTGCTTGTAACTGCAAACATGACTTTCACTCTACTTGCATGTTGGTTTTTAAGATACACCGACAATGTAGTCGGTAAAGGAAATGACAACTTCCCAGCTTTACTGGTGGAGGATGACCTCAGTTAAAATCAATTAAAATGTGGAAATGACAATGTATTATCTCTTTGATGTACTACCTCTTTAATTGTAGCACCTTGTCGACCAATCACTGCTCCGACAGCTTTACGGGGAACCTGTAGCTCTATTACAGTTTGTCGTGACGTTGCTGTTGCCACCGAAGATTTCCCACTAGCTACTTCATCGTATTCATCTACAAAGGAAACATGATCAAATTTTATCTATTTTCATTACATTATAATTTATATACATGGAAATTCCTGCCAAGATTTATTAAAGTGGACCAACTACTTCTAAGTTATGAATCCAGACACTCTGACATGCGCAAGGATTGACATTTACTATGACTGACATTCACAACCACAGGCATTTCAATATCCCTGTTTCCAATTTTATGAGCACGGGATGACAAAAAAATATGCTTAAAAGTTGTAACCGGTAAAAATCTTCTGCAATTCCATCAATTTGTATAAGCTGTCAATGAAATGTATCATAATAATTTATCCACATTAAATTTTTTCTTACCATATGTAAAGGATCACTGTTAACATAACTTATTTTTATATCTTCTCTTTCAAAAATCTCATATCATGATAACACTAATTGCTGGCACTTTTATCAAGGGATATAATTTTATTTAACTCTCTCTATTGTACAAGAGTGAGACTAAAAACGTGTTGGAGCACCAAACTAAATACTGTATTCTGGTTTATACTGGACAAGGCACTTGAATGATTAAATGCTAAAAAAATCTCGACTTTTCACCCGCCGAAACCCACATTTTAAAACGTCTAATTCATATCTTCACACTGACTTATATATGATAATGAATGAAAAATGTAAGAATCATTGAAAAAAGCGATATTATTCTACTTTGTGATCATGATTTATGCAAGCATCTAGAGGTCCTGCTTCAACACTGTTGTGAGTTAATTCTATATTACAAACCTTCTGATGAACTTTTCAGCAGGTAATACAGTAGACCAAGTGTTGTAGGAAGTTAATTCTATATTACAAACCTTCTGATGAACTTTTCAGCAGGTAATACAGTAGACCAAGTGTTGTAGGAATACCTATACCTAGTATCACCAACTTCCCTTGCTGAGATATCTCAAACATTGTCCATACATTACAAGTAACTGCAAAACAAAAAGAACAAGCGGTCAAAGTCTAATAATTTCAACTCCTGTTTAGTTTATATGAATTTATTATAATTTGATTGTGTTGGAAGCTATAAGCTTATTGAAACACTCTCTAAATCTGTTCCTAGAACCAACAAGATCTAAGCAATGAGTGTAAAAGTTTTTTTTGGCTCACAGACACAACTGCTTGTACCTGACTAGGTAAGAACCCACGGGAGGAGCAATCCTTAGATCACTAAACTAAGGTGTCAATTCTTTATATCCTAGCAGTTATCAAGATCTGTTTGATCTGTTTGTTGGGACAAAATTAAACCTGACAAACAAGTGGAGATTAGCGCAGCTGGCATCCTTTTTACCAGTTCTAATTCAGCTTTGCTTTTAACTTTTTTATCTCAGTCCTGTAGTTCTTTTTAAACTTGCTTTTATCTTATAGGCCTACCTATATTTGCACTTAACACATTTGTTTTTAACAGCTATTCCCAGACAATTGATTATGATTTTAAAAGCAGTATGATGTAGATGACTCTCTTAAGTGGATGGCTATATCCAGGAATAGACTCCGGTGTCTAAACGAGAAGTTTGTTTGTTTGATTGATTTGGTTTTACGTCACATCGACACTGTATAGGTCATATCGCGACGTCCAGCTTTTACTGGTGGAGGAAGACCTCAGGTGCCCTTCTGTGCATTATTTCAGGCACGAACGGGCACCTGAGTAGAATCACCGACATTCCGAAAGCTAGCTGGATAGCTTCCTCACATGAAAGAATCCAAAGTCCCTGTAGGGATTCGAACCAACAGCGGTGAGGGGCAAGTGGTTTGAAGTCAATGACCTTAACCACTCAGCCACGAGAAGTAACAGGCTGATGAAAATGCCCGATAAGGCTTATGACATAAAAAATCATATTTCTAGAAAAATAATGAAGAGATTTCTTTTAAACTTTGTTTGTTTATTGAGCATAATGAATAACATCAACAGAAAGAAAAATATTTTTGGTAACTGTCACTTTTGTGAGAATTATATCCCCTTTATCATATTTATATAACACATAATTTTCCAAGTCCTTAAAAAATATGTCATATATTATGCTCAATAAACAAAACAAAGTTTAAAAGAAATATTATTATTATTTTTTCTAGAAATATGATGTTTTATGTCATAAGCCCGATCGGGCATTTTCACCAGCCTGAGTAACTTTATAAGAGATCATTAATTCCGATTTCTTTAGTTTAACTTTAACTTTATCTAATAATATTATAACAAAAGTGGTAGTCCTATAAATATGACGTTGCTTTGAGATATGTTTGCCTCTGGGCAAAGCAAGAACAGCATAAATTATAACAAGCCCGTAAGCGGATGCAATACCTGTAAGATACCTGTAGAGTCAGTGTACCCGGTTCCGCACAGGACTTGGTCCCGTACACTTTTCCATTTTCATTTTTTCTCAAAAATTTAAATGAATTTATTCAGTTTTCATTTGTATTTTACTGAACTGGCATGTTTTCAACAGGATATGACATCATCTGGGATCTTGCCCCCCAAGCCTCACCCTAGACAGTGCAGACGAAAATGTAAATACATGTACGTGGCTTTGTAGGTCACGCATAAAAACAACTTATTCAGCAATTAAACCATGCTAATTTCTATTTTAAAGTTAAGATCATTATAAAATATATATTTGAAAAGAAATGTATGTTTTTCTTATGGCAAATTTGCTGTTAGTTATGAAATATATGCACATGAATTAACTTCTCCCAACTACCAAACGTCAAGTCATTTCACATTGATTCTTTTGTTTAAAATGATACCAAACTCTTAATCGAACAAATCATAACTAAAGTTAAACAGATGAAAAAAACTTTATTGATAATGTTTTATGCCTGTCTTAACAACCTACAAGTGGTTTAAAAGTATATTTCAATTGCTGTTACATGTTTCCTGT